CTACAGTTTTATACTACTTATGAATGTATCCTTAAGTGACATATAACTTTATATAAGCTGTATCCTAATGTAATTATCTGCTTCTTTTTTTTCCCCCTCAACATTGGGATTTATCCATATTAATACAAATAAACAATAAGAAGAAAATAAACCAAACTCAATGCCATTGTAGCAAACCCTCCTTGGGTTTCCAAGGCAGTATCTCTATGGAAGTAGATTGCCCAGTCTTCCTTCTGAGTGGCTGGTAGGTTTGAACCACCAACCTTCCAGTTAGCAGTCAAATGCCTTAGACACTATGCCATCAGAACTGCCTTTAATCTATCCAATTCATTTTCACTGTTGAGTAAAATGCCACTTTATAAATATATCACAATTTACTTATCCATTCCCCCATTGTGACAGTTTGCATTTTCCAAAGATGGCTAGCACAATGTATTCCATCCCATATGCTTTTCTTACAAGGTGGCATTTACACTGCTTGCATCAAGTGGTGGGTCTCATTCCTTCTGTTTGAATCTAGATCCTTTTTTTTTTTTTCATTTTTATTGTGATTTTTGTAAGTTTACAGGGCAAATTCATTTTCCATACAGCAGTCCATATATATTTTGTTTCATGATATTGACTGCAATTCCCCACAATGTAACAGCTCTCTTCCTACTTCCTCCCTGTAGTTACTTCTTCCCCGTGTCCTCCCCTCCCATGCACTCCCGGCAACCCCCTCAGCTGTCTCCCTGTGTAAACACTGCCATTCTGTTCTCCTGTGATTGATCGCTCCAAGGAGTGTATCTACCTCATGTAAATGTTCACCCCATATGCCTGTCTATTGTTTGGCTGGAAGCCACAGGAGTGAGTTCAGTTCTAGACTTGAAGGGTAACTAGGGGCCATAGTCTCAGGGGTCTCACCAGGCTTTATCTGACCAGCAAACCTGGTCTTTTTTTTTTCATGATTTTGAGTTTTGTTCCACATTGTTCTCTCACTCTATCCAGGATCTCCTACTTTTCCCACTTCTTCCTTGTGTTCCCCTCCGAATGGTTGACAGTAGTAGCTGGGCACCATCTAGTTCCTCTGGTCTCATGGTCATATAGGCTGAGAATCACATGGTCTACTAGTCCCTTGGACTAACTGTTTCTATGCGTGTTTGGTTTTATTCATTCTTCTTTGCTCTGGACGAGGAAAGACCCATCATTGCATCTAGATGACTGCTTGCAAGCTTTTAAGACCCCAGTCACTACTCACCAAAGTAGGATGTAGAACAATGATTTTGTGTAGTATCTCATGCCAATTGAGCTTGATGTCCCCTATGACCCCAGTCCCACGTCCACAGGTCCAACTACTCACTCCTTTAGGGTAGCTGTGTGGCTAAGAAGTCACTACAACCTTGTCTGGGTCCACTTTTGTAACTGCTTCAACCAATTGAGTATAACAGAAGTGATGCTATGTGACTTCCAAGGCTAGGTCATAAAAATGGCATGCATGTCTCCCTTGCTTTCTTGGGTCACCTGTTCTTGAAATCCAGCCACTATGTTTTAAGAAAGCCATGGAGGGAGATCACATGTAGGCAGGCGTCTGAGCCTACAGCCACACCCAGCCAACAGCTAGCACCAACTACCCCAGTGAGCAAGTCTTCAGATGATGATAGCCCTCACCTGTCAAGTCATTTCTAACCTCCACGCTACCCCAGCTGATGCCACAGGAAACATAGACAAGCTGTCCCCACCCAACTCTCACAAATTACAAATTTATAAGCAAGACAAATGATTGAGCTACTGAGTTGTTAAACACAATACACAACTGTTTTCTATATTCCTGTTTATGGATATTTAGATCATTCCAAGGTAAACACTTTAAAAAAAAAAATTGTAGCTGTTGATTATTAGCACAATAATTAAAGATTAGTTCCGTTCTGTTTTTAGAAAGAGAATCTGGTTACCTATCTCATTTACTTGTAATAGATCACAAAATTTCTACATTTGCCAGCACTCCCTTCGGACTTTTCCTCTTTTCACTTTCAGACAGAAATCTTTTAACTGAGAGGATTAGAATATGATAAAGGTGTGAAGCAGAAAACTTTCTCAGGGACAATTAGGAAAATTGTAGTATCTTTTACGGAAACAAGCCTCTGCTTCATGTTGATATTGCAGCTAAACTTATAAAAAAGAATCATGCGAACAATATGGCTTAGGTAAATAAGGCTTAATGGTGGCCTTAATTATCTAAACTAATACAGAGAAGAAACCCTCATATTTTTAAGTCTCACCAGTACCTGGCTCAGTACTATTATTGGAAACCTAGGATATGGCAAGCAAGGATACTCATTTAGAAGACTAGAGAAATATTTTTTTGTAAAATGTATTTCACATGTCATTAATGAAGTTCTGTAATGCTGTTATTATTGCTAATATTCCCACATATGTCTTATGGTGGCTTGTATCTGATGTTGTTGTTGTTGTGTGCTGTCGAGTCGGCCCCGACTCATAGCGACCCCTCCTTGGGTTTCCTAGGCAGTATCACTACGGAAGTAGATTGCCCCATCTTCCTTCCGAGGAGTGGCTGGTGGGTTTGAACCGCCAGCCTTCTGGTTAGCAGTCAAGTGCCTGAGCCACTATGCTACCAGAGCTCCTTGTATCTGATAGGATAGGATTTTTAAAGTATTTCTGTCTTCACTAGCAACAGTACTTTGTTTTGTAAAGTACCCTACAAAAGTATGTATGTTTTAATACCTGTTGAATTGCCATTCCAATGAAAAATTAAAACATATGTTTATAATTTTTATGCAGGCAAATTTTTAGCATTTATTTATTGCTTAATCCCTGGAACAAAAAAATAATTTGTTTCTGTCATCACAGATAAAAGAAAAAAATATTTATAATGTGAAGTCCTTCAGATATTTAGAACAATTTTAATTCCATGGAGACTGTCCCAAGAAGTCAATGATGGCATCTTTCAAATTTTGCTCTGTCCTCTGGGACTGATGGGTTTTATTATATTGCCAGAAATCAGTAGAGCACAATAAATCATTAAATATCAGCTATTTCAACCTTCCCATTTTATAGATGAGGAAAATGAGACCCAGAAAACTTACAAAACTTGCCCTACATGGCAGTTAATTAGTAACAGACCTAAAACAACTCCAGGATTTGGGGCCCCCAAATTAATGCTACTTCCAGCATCAGACACTTGTTTCCATCATGTTGTATTAGCTGTCTAAATAAATAGTCTGTATGTGCTACATGGAAGTAATCTAAGGAGCCCTTCTAACAAAAAGGCCTGTGGTTGGATCCTACCATCTGCTCCGTGGGACAAAGATGCGGCAGTCTACTTCTTTAAAGCCTTGGAAACCCTATGGGGCAGTTCAACTCTTATAGGGTCTCTATGAGTTAGAATTGACTGTATGGCAGTGGGGTTTTTGTTTTGTTTTGGTGGAAGTAATGTGGTCCTTTGAAGACTGCCCCAGAGGCGCATGAACACTGAACCTAGGCAGCTTTACCTTCCAGTGTGTCTATCCTGAATGCAGCATAAAAAGCAGCTCATGATCACGAGATTAAGTATTTTGAAACCTACCACCGGCATGCCGGTACTTTATGGGCATTCAATAATTATTTGTAAATGAGTATTGTATGAACCTCCCCTGAATAAACTTCCATATTCCCAGGGCAGGAAGCATACAGTAACCCAGGAGTTTAGCCCATGGCCTCTTAAGTCATAACTCTGGATTGAAATACTGCTTCCAGCTACTTTACCTTGAGCTTCAAATCCCTCTATGCTTCAGTTCCTTCATTTAGTAAAGATAATGGCATCTATTTCATAGGATTGTGAGTATTAAATGATATAAAATATGTACTTAGCACTGTGCCTAGCAAATACTTGCACTAAATAATCGTCCCTTATTGTGTTTGTTGTTGTTGTTGTGTGCCGTCGAGTCGGACTGACTCATAGTGACCCCTCCTTGGGTTGCTGAGGCAGTATCACTATGGAAGTAGATCGCCCCACTTTCCTTCCGAGAAGTGGCTAGAAAGGTTTGAACCGCCAGCCCTCTGGTTAGCAATCAAGTGCCTTAGGCACTATGCTACCACAGCTCCTACATAATTATAATGTTTAGGATCTGGTAGCATAGTGGCTAAGGCACCTGACTGCTAACCAGAAGGCTGGCGGTTCAAACCCACCAGCCACTCTTCAGAAGGAAGATGGGGCAATCTACTTCCATAGTGATATTGCCTCGGAAACCCAAGGAGGGGTTGATATGAGTCGGGTCCGACTCAACGGCACATAACAACAACATATTATGCAGAAAAAGTGTAAAACGAGGGGGCTCTACGAACTAGACAGGCAGTAGATTTCACAAGCAGTCAACAATCCATAACTGAGTCTCTCGTATTTACCAGTGTATTTAAACATCTACCTACCGTTAAATATCAAACAATATGAGGCAACCCAGCCCAACACTTAAAACAAAGCATGTTGTTGTTGTTGTATGCCATGGAGTGGACCCGACTCATAGCGACCCCTCCTTGGGTTTCGGAGGCAGTAGTATCACTACGGAAGTAGATTGCCTCATCTTCCTTCCGAGGAGTGGCTGGTGGGTTTGAACCTCCAGCCTTCTGGTTAGCAATCAAGTGCCTTAGGCACTATGCTACCAAATCTCTCTCTCACAACTCGCTTTCAAAATGAACAAAATTCAGTCCTACGCGGCCCAGCGATAGCAGGCATAGTTACGTCCACTGTCGCAGTCAACCTAGTTGCTAAGGTGCTGCCCGAGTTAACTGAGGGGACCTCAAGGCAGAGGCGGGTGAAGTGGGGAGATATGGGTGTCCCCAACATCCGCCTTAAAAACTGTGGGTTGTTATTTCTGCTTGGCACGAAGTCGCCCCACCGCACCACCCAAGACTATCACCCCTGAAGCCCAGAGCTTCCCGCACGCAGCATCTCGACCGGCGCGCTGCGGGCAGCCTCCTACGTCACGCCGGCGTCGTGCTGCCAAGCAGGACCTCATCTCCGCCAGCGCTTCCTTCTGGAAGGTTCGTGAAGGCAGTGGGTACTTTCCGTTACTCCGAGGACGGCAGTGATCCGCATCCATCCGTCTTTCCCCATACCCGCACAGACCCAGCGGAGGTCGCCATGCCAGAGAACGTACCCCCTCGGAGCGGGGCGCCTGCTGGGACTGCCGGCGGCCGCGGAAAAGGCGCTTATCAGGACCGCGACAAGCCCGCCCAGATCCGCTTCAGCAACATATCCGCGGCCAAAGGTATCGCCCCCTGTATCTGACCCTCTCGGTCCTGCAGAATCGAACTGTGCAGTCTCACGTTGGGTTCGGGTGGGCATGGCCCGTTTTTTGTTCCTTGTAGTGATTTTTTTTCTTGTTTTCCTATTAGAAGTTCTGTGAAGGGGTGTGTTTCCTCCTTAATTTCCAACCCAGAATATGGAGGTTCTTTGAACCTACCCCATTTTGAATGCTACGTCCATAATTTTTCATTCTGTGTTGTGCTTCATTTACTGTGTTAAGGCAAAAGAGGGGTTCAGTACAAAATGCCGAGGCCTACGTGTGGCGGTTCCTTGGGATCTCACATTTAAAGAGCTGTTCTCTATATGCTTGTTGAATCTGTCGGCAGAATATTGTTCGCACAGTGTTTTTCAGGTCTTTTATAACAATGCCGCTTTAACTTACGCCATAACTATTGAGAAGAATTTGGGTAAATTCTCCGCATCTTAATTGGGCGAGGCCCATTGTACTGGGGTATGAGAACTGACTTGCTGGTTCTGTTAAGACCGGCGTTTCATTTTCTTCTTTTTTTATTCCGTAGCATTTTGAGTTTTATCCAATCTCTGAATCAAAGTATCTTCGCGTATAGAATTGAGGAAAATGCTTTTTAGAGTTTTGAGTATGTATCAAGAGAAGTCGAGACGAGATTGGGAATTGGGAAGGAAAAGTGAGACCAAGGCCTTTGCCATCCTATCCGGCGTGTATTGAGAATAGTGTTTCATTTGGGTTGGAGAAGGGGGTGCATAAAGAAGTGAGAGGTGATACTAGAAAGGTGAATTGGAGCCAGATCTTGAAAGCCCTGGTGTCCTGGAAAGCGTTTGGTTTAATTTCCCCTGGTTTTAAATGGTTCTTCAATATGAGGAGGTAGTTGCCAACTTACTCTGTTGCTGTGAGGTTTAAGTAAGTTTAAGGTATATGAAGAACCATAGGTGGTGCAGATAGTATGTTATGAAGTGAAAAGTTGGTGGTGATGCCAGCCCACCCAGAGGCCCCTTGGAAGTTAGGCCAGGCCATCTGCATTCTAAAAGTCACAGTCTTGAAAATCTTGTGGATCAGTTCTGCTCTGCATACATGGCATTGAATCAGAAACTGATTAAGGGCAACTAACAAAAACAGTGTGTAAAGTACATCCTTGAGTAGTAGTTGAGGTCATCACCCCGGGTATCTGGGAACATAATGATGCTAAAAGAAATGTGACAAAAGAGCAAGGGTGATGGAAGAGAAGATAGTAAGTTCCAGTTTGGGCATGAGTAGGAGATGTCAGAGTGACAAGGTTGATAGATTAAGGAGTCATTTGAAAGGTCAGGAGAGAATACACCTAGAAATAAAAATTTGATACATATTTGTCTAGGGAGCATAGTTAAAACCATCAGGTTAGATTTATGAGATTAGAAAAAAGTTGTTGAATGAATTCCGGGGATCATCTGGAGGACCAGAAAAACTGTATAATATCAAGGTAGATTTTTAACAGGGAAGGTACAGAATAGGGAATTCACTTTAGTTATCTATAGTGTCACTTTGAGTCATAATTGACTTAATGGCAGTGGGTTTTAATTTTTGAAACAGTACAAGAGAATTCAGAACAAGTAAGGTATGAGTATACTAAGGAAAAGCCAACCATAATTTGAGGAGAGGTCAGAATACAAGGAGGCTGTAGTATTTCCAAGTCAGACAAAACCTTTCAAACTGATGTGGAAAAGCTGCTGCTAGGTATACCTTCAGTTTAATTCATGGAGTCAGTTTTTAGTTCAATGTTAACCAAAGAAAAGATGGGGGGGGATAATACACCTACTTCTCACTTAGCTATTATCTCGTTATCCAACAGGTCACATTTATGACAGTGGTTAAAAAAAATCTGTCTATTTTGCTATAAATGACATATGTATGTCTGGCAGTGATAAACACCAGACGTTGGATAGAGTAATGCAGACTGTGTCAGTAAAGGTTACATGTCAGCTTGGCTGGGCTGTAATTCTCAGTGGTGTGGCAGTTATGTACCATGTGATACAATGTGGTCATCCTCCATTTTTTTATAACGCTGAGTTTTGCATATTGACCTGGTCTTTGGAAACCAACTGTGTCGGTAAGTGAGGAGTAGATGGTAGCACCATTTGTCAATGACGTAAAACAAACACAAAAGGACAGTGTGTGTGTCCTTCTAGAATCTTCACATTGCTAGAGATAAGGACATTTTTTTTATTAATTGGTTGGCGTGTATAATCATGGCCATGAAAATGTGTAAAACTTGCCTGAAAGAATAATAGTGATTGGATAATTAGGAATAGCAGCCCGAAGTTATGAAATAGTTATATCAAATGTAAGTGAGCTTGTAAAAGTGTTACATGTTATTCACACAGTATAAGGGCTCAATATCTGCCATATATGTATGGACTAAAGTGGTGTGTAAGGAAAAAAAAGTAATGTGTCCAGGACTAAGAAAAATTCCTGTTCAGCAATTCCTAATTCTCCTGGGAAATCATTTTAAGTATATTGATAAAACAAATCTTCTCATGAGCAAGTAATGTTTCAAAGTGTATTGATGATGACCAAAAGATATGATTTGAGAGTTTGATTTTTTGAATTTGCTTTTATCAAATGGTGTTTCTCTCTACAGCATTTTTAGGGATTGTACCACTATTGTTTGCTCTGTGGAAAGTGTTAATGTTAAATTTATTGTGGGCCTTCTGATCACAAGGGGCTGGGATCACATTAATGAACAGAGCAAAAGTCAGCCCACAGAGATTACATTCCAGTTGGAGGAGACAGAGGGTAAACAAATAAGTGAATTATAGCATGTTACGAAGGAAGCCTAGCCTACCCTGTTTCTGCTTCTCCTGTTTTGAGGAAAGGAAGAAATAATACAATAATAACACATTAATCATTGAGGGGAGAAGTACTCTTTAAAAGAGTCTTGATTTTTTTTTCTCCCCCTTTCCTGTTTACAGCTGTTGCTGATGCTATTAGAACAAGCCTTGGACCAAAAGGAATGGATAAAATGGTAAAAAGCCAAATCAAAGAGAACTTACTGAACACTACTGTCTGTATTACAAGATTGATGGGGGAATAAGATGTGCTTTTTGAAAAGTAAAAAAAGTTAAAAGAGTTTAGAGGAGCAAGAGATTACTCTGTGGTGGGCAAGTCTTAA